AATAAAGTTAAAAGATAAGAGTCTAAAAATGTAACTAGATAAAGTTAAAATTATTTAACTTTTTAACTTTTTAACTTAATTTTTATCTTTTTAACTAGACACTACCCAACCTTGCCTATAGGTATTTGGAAAATGAACTCTAGATATCTAATGGATATCCACTAGAGATAACGTGAGCATCCATTAGATGTTTCCAATTTCCATCATGGATGTCTAATAGATGTTCATTGGAGTGTTCTGTTCTGTATGAGATGGAGCATTAAAGTAAACAAAGAAGTAGACAGATATGTGTACTGAGCATAGAGATATAAGAGAGAGAGTGCGGGAGCGAACTGAAAAAGCGATAAAAGACTTAAAAAGAGAGATGCATAAAGGCCCTTTCTGTTCTTATCTAATCGGTAGCCAACGCTGATAGTGCTGGACAGACGCAGTCTCCATTTTACGTTTAGTGCAAATAATTGTTTTATAACTGTTTTCTTTATAAATAGAAAGTTAAATAAATTGATTATAATATTTTTACAAAAGTAATGATAATGATAGGTAAAAGAGTAAACAAATTCTACTACTATTAATGTCATTGCGCGTGCGTCATTAGACAAGGACAGAGACGGCCTATATGCTGTGACCGTTATTCTTAGGATGTCAGTAAATAATTATTTCTTTGAAACGGCACAAAACGTCACGTCCCGCGAAATCTCAAAATCTAACGCTAGATCTCCGGAAGTTAGGCGCCAGATACGCTGGGGCGTATCACCGAATTTCACAAATAATTTCGCTAATGACCGGCAAGACGTGACAGACGCGAAGAATGCAGCGGCTAGTCAGTAAAACCTTAGAACGGAGAGGCGGGATTCGCGTACAGGATACATTAGGAAAAAGAGCAAACCAGCAGAAGTAACTAGAAGAATAACAACTAATTTATTTCACACTCGTCGCGGTACAGCAAAATAAATAATAATAAAAAAAAAGATACGAATCTGACGTGGCAGATATTCACTATTAGTACTGGAAAGTTATACAGTACGTGTGACGTGAAGTATAGATTTTTAGTATTAGCAATGAATATCAAAACGCAGCCAAAAATCGAGCCGACCAGCATTGAGAGCACCGAGGTGATGGAGGTTAGATACGCATACAAGCGAGAACTGTTGTCCGGGTGCGCTCGGCTACGGAAGAATGCAGACATACTATGTTCCGTCTCCGTTCCACCAAGCTGACTATATAATTATTGCGCGCTTGTTGCGTATAATGACAACGTGAACGTGCTTCCGTGTCTCTCTTATTAACACTTTTGCACCAGACAGAACTGATAGCAAACATTTTTTGCCGAATATGATTAGAATCTACATAAAAAAATTATAAAAATATGCAAGTACTTTCAACATGTTATATATGTATTGTTATATATGTATTATTCTGTTATATGTATTATTGTTATTATGTAGAAATACATTTGTATTGTACTGAAAGAAGTGTTTGTCAAAAACATTCTACAAAAATGTATGATATCCCGAAAAAATTACTTTTTCAAAAAAAGATAAAAAAAGACGCGCCAAGTACACGCGCAACTCGTATCTCTAAAAAGCGTTATTATATTACTGTGCTACATAAAAACTTTTTTCGACAAAATCTATTCTAGAAAAAAAAATAGAAAACTCATATGAAACTATTTTCAAAATAAAAAATATTTAATGGAAAAACACTTGGTGCGGCTGCATCAAAAACTATAATAAACTAAAGTTCAGTCTGATGTACAGTTTTTAATGCAGCCGCTCCAAGTTTTTTTGCATTAAATATTTCTTATTTTGAAAATAGTTCCGTATGGGTTGTCGACTTTTTACACAAAGCAAAGTCTATAAGTATATATTTTGATATGATTTAAGACTTCCCACACGCAAAGCTATTTTTATAGTTTTCTAATATTTTATTTTGATAATGTATATATAAATGTACAAAATTTACTTGGTGCTACTTATTGATATCATTTCTTTTCTAGAATAGATTTTGTAGAAAAAGAGTTGTTATGTAGCACAGTAATATAATAATAATTTTTAGAGATACGAATTGCGCGTGTACTTGACGCACCTTTTTTTACCTTTTTTTGAAAAGGTAATTTTTTCGGATATCATATACTCAATAAATCTTAAGAATTGTATGGATGTTATAATTAAAAATCTGATGTTAACTTGAGTTGCGTATATGCATCACGAATAACTACATATTTTAATTAGATGAGGAGAGAGAGAGACAGAGAGAGAGAGAGAGAGAAAGAGAGAGAGAGAGAGAGAGAGAGAGAGAG